CTACTGAATGACTATATTTTAAACTTTTCAATATTTTGTCATCTGATTTCGAATGAAAATTGACCTTTAATTATATAGATTAAAGAAAAAGCAAATTTATTAAACATGTCAAAAAAAACAAAAAAAGGCAAGACGACAATGCCATTGACCGATTTTCTTGGATCGGGACCTAAACTTGTTACTGTTCGTGAAAGTACTTGGGCAGCTATTGTTGATGAAGAAGAAGAGAAGAAAAAACCAATAGGTAAATCATACAAAAAAAGAATAAATCGAAATTAATCATATTTCTTGTATATTTCTAGTTGTTGATATGAGTGGTTTACCAACAGCACCACGTTCTGCTGTCGATATTGATTATAGTACTTTACCAAATAATCCACCATTTGTTGCACATGTTGCTAATTTATCATTTGAAATTGATGATGAAAGTTTAAGACGAATCTTTGCTGATTTAAATGTAAGATAGAAGAAAAAGAATTCATTTATTCAATATTTCTTTTGTAGCCAAAAGTAGCTCGTATTATGCGAGAAGGTAATCGTAGTCGAGGTGTTGGTTTAGTTGAATTTGATACCCGTGAAAATTTAATTGAAGCATTGAAACGAACAGATAAAGAAATTTATGGACGAAAAATTCGTATTAATGTTTCTGATAAAACAGATTTTCATCAATCAGATAGTAATCGATCACATTTTGGTAATCGATCAAATCGAACTGGAGAAGAACGTCCAGAAATGGCTGATAGATGGAAAAGAGTTGAACGAAGATCGGATGAAATATCAGATGATCGATCAGATATGGGACATAATCGTGATAGAAATAATCAAGGACGATGTAAGTTATTCTTTAAATCTTCCAGAAATATTTTAAGAAATATTTTTTCTTTAAAGCAAGTTATACTAGTGGTTCTCGAGATGGTCAACGTGGAAGTGATTATGGATTTGGTTATCCACGTGGAAGAGATGATCGTGGTGGAGGTGGTGGTCGTGATCATGATCGACCAGGTCCACGTCGTTATAATAATAATAATAATAATGATGATGATAATAATCGATCGAGTGGTGGTATGGATAGACCAAGATATGGTGGTCGATACAGTGATACACAGTAAAATAGAATATATTAAAATAGTGTTAGAATAATTATTTTCTTGTAGTGATACACGTGAACGAATTCCATCAACTGGTATATATTTCATTGATTTCTTTTCCCCCTAATAGTATTTATTGATTTAGATGATACTCGAGAACCACCAAAAGAACGTCCACGTCTTCAACTTCAACCACGTACAAAGCCACTTCAAGAACTTCAACCATTATCTGCTTCATCTTCATCTGTGAATAATGTTGCTGCAACATCCTCTCTATCGAATACAGAAAATTCTCCGTCGATGAATGATAGTAATCCTGATGAATATCAACAACAAGGATCACATGAACCATCCGAAGCTGGATCATCTATAGAACAATCAACAGTTAAACCATTAGCGCCATCACGTGGTGCTGGTGCATCGATATTTGGTGGTGCAAAACCAGTAGATACAGCTGCTAAAGAACTTGAAATAGAAAGAAAACTAAAAGAACTTCAATTAGCTAATAGTGAAACAGGAGAAGAACATACTGAAAAAGTATCAACATCTAGGTAATAAATAGGAAAAATATTAAACTAACAAAAAACAAACTAAAGATTTCTTGATTTAAGGTCATCATATAATCATGGTCATGATCGAGATACTTACCATGGTAAACGATCATCATATAATGATGAACATCGTGATCGACGTGATGATGGTATTATTTATTATTTCTTTGACAATTTTAATTTAATATCTAAACATTTAGGTCGATCAGGACATGGTTCAGATTATCATCATAAACGAGAATATAGTGGTATGTAAGAAACAATGAATAATTATAGTTGAGATTTTTTTCTAATAGACTTAAACTTTGATTTGCAGCAATATAACTGACATTAGTAGTTAAAATTCAGATTGATTCTACTTTTTGGAGATATATAGTCTTCATATAGACCTTACCATTCATTTTTTTCAATATCCATTAAGCTGATACATATGTAATTCGCAATGAGTCCTAATCGACTTTGGCGAAAGTTCATCCATGGAATGATGATTTATGATCTTTAGGCGGTCGTCGATATGAAGATGATAGTCGAAGATCTCATAATGATGATCAACAACGTCGTGATCGAGATCGTTATACAAATCCATCTCGGCGTGATCATGATACTGGTGGTCGTACTGGAAAATATAATCATCATAATCAATCAGATCGAGGTAAATAATACAAAGAAAAAAGACGAAATATCATCTTGAAATTTTTCTTATATAAATAGATAATTATCGACCACGTGATCGTGATACAAATGAACATAATACTCAACGACGATCATCTGATGATAATTTCAATAGTGAACCACAATCTAAAACACAACCACGGTAGAATATTCTTTTTGAAAAAAAGATTTTATCTGATTTATTTATTGGTATTATTAGTGGACTAATACGGCGGACAGTTCCGACGAATGATGATTCGAATCGAGTAAATATCTATTCATTAAATATTACTAAAATTTCATTTGT